TAATAGTTTCCAGCCATAATTCTCAAGGTTAAAATGTTCGTCATTGCCCGAGGCGGCGTTTCTTTACTCTCGCAGTTCCGAGCGCCCCGAGCATCGTTAGTGTGACAGAAGGATCAAACTATTTGTCCGTAACTTGGGAGCCTCCTGAGGAGCCGAACGGAGTCATCCAACGCTACAGGATCACGCGAATCGGCGACGACGGAGAGGAGGAGATGCAAGAGACTGACGGAGACACTTTGACGGCGAGGGTGTATGGCACAGCTGCTTGCCATAACTACACTCTCACCGTTGCCGCAAAGACGGCGAAGGGGTTTGGGGCTGAATCCAACAAAAGGGTTATTTATGTCACAGGGGAAGGTGAGACGCAGTAAACTGAGGACCAAAATTTAAAAAAAGGAAAAGTAAACGCTTACACTCAAAATGACTGGTTATAGAGTAATCATGGAAATGTTAAACAGGTCACTTATTCTTTAAGCGCTCAAAGAAACGATAATCTTTCTTAAATCCAACACAATACCGCCGTGTTATCGCTGAGCATAGTACCGGTTCATTAACTCAACTTCAGACTAACACTCTAACATTTTCCTAACATACATCCATCCTTATTGCAGCTCCTTGGAAACTGTGACATGTGATGGAACAGCTTCTAGAAACTTCACTGTTATGTGGGACCATGGAAGCGTCACCTGCAAGGATCAGTACTACTCTATCACCTGGAACTCTACTGTTAAGTGGTCAGCTGATGAAGGTAATGGAACACTATACTACTGGATAAATTATGTTGATAGATAGATAAATAGACAGATATGTTGACAGGTAGACAGACAGATATGTAGGCATATAGACATAGATAAGAACATAGATTGATAGATACATAAACAGAAACACACAGCACCGTGTACGCAAAGATGAATAGAAAAACAGCCACGTTAGGAAATGAAATGAAATCTTAACATTACTAACTCGTCAATGTCAGAAACTTACAATTTAATGTTATTTCTTATTGTTGTTTTCCTTTTTATCGATAAACAGGTTGATAGTTTGACATAAGATAGCCTGATATGTTAATACACGGATAATTAGGTAAGTAAGGAGGTAGGCAGATAGATAGGTAGATAGAAAACTAGATAAATAAATAGACAAACCAAGGAGAATTAGGCACATAGACAGAAGGATGAGAGACAAATAACCAATTAAATCTTAAGTCGGATAAACAGAGATCTCGACAGATAGATAGGCAGAGATAGTTTTCTTGAACGATGCTTCTCTCCTCAGACCAAGGTGAAACAGAGGTTCCCGGAAACGAAACGGCGTACACCTTCCTCGACGCGACCCCTACACTGAGTACTTCGTGTGTGGCCATCATGAAGGACGCGGAGGGGGGCGTGTGCTGTGACCACACCACGGCGGAGGATGGTGAGAATTTGTCAGTCAGTGGTGCTGGTTTCGCTTTGGTTTCAGTGCTTTTCCATTGCGTGGGTATGGAATGGCCAATACATATATAAATCTTATATATACATACATAGTACACACACACACACACACACACACACACACACACACACACACACACACACACAACACATATATATATATATATATATATATATATATATATATGTATACATATATGTGTGTGCTTTTTGTGTGTGTACACATTTATTTATACACACACACACACACACACACACACACATAATATATATATATATATATATATATATTATATATATATATATATAATGAATTTACGTACACACATATATATATATATATATATATATATATATATATATATATATATATATGTATATGTATGTATATATATACATATATATATATATTATATAATACATATATATATATATATATAAATAATATATATATATATATATATATATGTGTGTGTGTGTGTGTGTGTGTGTGTGTGTGCATGTACACACACACATATATATAAAATTATACGCACACACCTACACAAGTACAACTTCCATTTATACCTAACCGGCAACCCCCCCGCTGGCAGGGCCCTCGGCGCCAGTCATCAAGGAAATTTCCTCCTTCCGCGGAGACGTTCGCATCAGCTGGTCGCCTCCTGAAGAAGCCAATGGCGTTGTGAGGAACTACAATGTTTCTTGGGAGAGTGAGGACGCCGATCCGGGACTCAGGAGTTTGATGACGTAACTGAAGGATTGGTTGTCGGTCTAGAAAAGTGCCATACTTACACCTTCTCTGTGGCCGCTGGCACGATCGTCTGGGGGAATAAATCGGAGACCAGAGAGGTGGAGGTTGTTAATTACGGTAAGTTTATCTCGTGCCTTGCTGTTGTAGTGACGAAGTGTCATTTTTTCCTGCCCTTTCATTCTTCTTGTCGCCCAGTTACCGTTTGTTGCTGAAAGTCCATCTATTTCTCTCATTGAATGTCTTCCGCTTTCCTACCCACCTACTACTTCCCTTTCCCTTTCCACCCATTCTGGTTGTTTTCTTATCATACTGTGTATTAAGAATTCTCTATCTCTGTGCTTTAGTGTGGTCTTTATTGCTTCTCGTTCTGTTCCTGTTCTTTCCACCATTTAATCAAACGCCTCCATAGCAATGCGATTCTATGGCTTATATTCTTCCATGGCTTTGGTTTTGATTTTGATTTTTATCCATATAACGTATATATGTATGTACAGCGTATTTTATATTCTTACCCATTTAACGAAACCGACTATAGAAACGGTTTTAATGCTTCGTTATTTTTTGAGATGGTTCTTTTCGATAAAGGAAATCCTTGCTAATGTGTTCCCTTTTATTCTAGATCACACCAGCCATCCTCACTAACGCTACTTTTTAGGTAGTAAAATTGTTGCATTTATACAAATCCCTTTTCGGTGTTAACATATCCTTTGTTATTCATTGAGATTTTTCGCTTTATCTTTAGACCTTGTTATTATTTTTTTTTCTTCTAATATTGTGTGTTTACTATCAATACTTTATCTTTTGCGTATAATCTATTGTCGCTGTTTCTGCCCCTATGCTGAAGCCTATCATATTTTCTAATAATCTTTTCAAACAGGGAGACAGGGTCTGGTGATTACATACTCTTAATGAATACCTTTATTAACATCCCGTCGTTCTGCCTTCTACCATCAGCGAAGCTATTTTATTCCAACATACCTTTTTTTGCCTGTCATTCTACTTGGTCGTTATATGAAAATTTCATTTTTATCTTATAAGAAGTTTTTATTAGCCAATGAAACGATGATGCAAGTCTTGATTAGTCTTCGTTAAACTTAAATGGAATTCCTACTTGCTCTTAAAATAAAAATGAAAAAGCTCTCTTGTCACCTCTTGCCTTATGCCATTTAATGTCATTTTCATCACTCTCCTTATTCTTCGCTTTCGTTCAAAATACTGATTTATTGTTTATTTGGAATTCCTTGTTTTTTTTGTATTGTGTTGGAGATAGGTTAACATGTTTCGTAACTTTATCTTTCTTTTACAAGTTGTTTGTCACCTTGCTTATTTCGCCTTTGCTTAACCTTTTCACGACATTCCACTTTCTGCATTCACTTTATCCTCTGTTGCTTTTCCTACGGTCATCCTCGCCACAGCCCTTTCCACTGCTCTCTTTAAAATGGCTGAGACGTCTTTTCTTACATTTCTTACATGCGCTTGGACCTGTACGGAATTCATATTTTTATTCAGGCATGTTACTTATTTCCTTTTATACCTTGGCCCTTCCATGTCCACAGCCGACGTGGATGGTGTCGCTGCCACATGTTTTACTACTATACGTTTGTTTTTATTAACACCGTTCTGCAGTACTGAGCTCACCACCCAGGGCCAGATTTAAGAACATACGATCGTATAACATTTACCAGCGATGGCAAAGCGGGATCCACGAAGAAATGGCAATTTGGATCAGCTGAGTTACAATCGTAAATCGACTCATTCTTATGGTTCCACCAATTCCACCAATCAGCGAGCAGTATACGTAATCTTTAGGTTCCTTCGACCAATCACGTAACAAGTAAACAGAACTAGACAGCGAGAGTTTAAAAATAATTGTAACAGCTAAAACACCACTTAAGCACGTAGAAAAAATTTATTTGATTTTATCCATATGCGTTATACATTTACCGTATAAGTAGGAACCACTACAAACTTAAATTAATATATTATTGTTTACCTCTAACCAAAGACAGTCCACAAGGTTTTTATTTACTTATATATTTTTCATCATTGAACAGTGAACCGGACCAAACAATTTTTTTATTCATCACCATCTGTCATTAAAGGAAATATTTCAAGCTCATTCTTGCGCTTTGGAATTCATTGTCAAAATGCCGACAGACAGAAATTGCTATACTCATTTAGCGTTGGTATCGCTAGTTTATATATCAGCAAAGTAGTTTTTTCTTTAGAATTTCTAATAATCATGTCAGAGAAGAAGAATTCTTTAAGAGTTGACTTTTTCTATTCATTCCATGCATTCTAGTATAATATAGGCCTATATTTTTACGAGAATTCGTGTGGATTCTATTTTTGCTAGTTTTATGTGAAATATGCATTTATTCGCCATGTCCATATTGTGATATATGTTTATCATCATATTAGTTGTATCAGGTAAAAACAAAAAACACACAAAACAAAAGAAAAAAAAACAAGAAACAAAGAAAAAGAAAAAAAGAAAAAGAAAAATGAAGAAAAAATATTTGCATAGATATTAATTTTTTGACATAACACGTGGCGATATCGTCTTCCGAGAAGTTAATGCTCCGACCACTGGTTGAATGTACTATGGTATTTCCGAAGGCAATGTTTTAGTGAATACCAACGCTGTCTGTTCACTATGGTAACTATAATTACCAATGCCTTTACCATCGTAAATACGTTAGCGAATAAGGCCCCAGGCCTGCGGTCCTCATCTCGTCCATTACATTGAAGGCTGGTTTTGTATACATGATTAGGAACTTTTCTTGTTTCTCTTTCTGACCGATGTTGGTGTGTGT